AGTCAGCGATTACCCACACACGAGAAGGGCTCGAATTCAAAACTAAAGGAAGCTGAGTCTACCGTTTAAAAGAGAACGATCAATAGTATTTAAGACTTTTCTATAAGATAGTTGCGAAATACATCGTCAACTAAGAAGTGATACGCAGAAACAAAATGGTTCCATTAGTCATTAATCCATCGAATAAGAAATACTCTTTCAATATATGACCTTCTTACGAATGTTAGAAGTTTACGAACCAAGACGATACGTTCAGAAACCATGTCTATTCTTGATGAAGTTTCGTAACGGAACTCTTTTATGGTATGTTTTACTCGCTTATGTTGCTAATTTCCGCAATAAAAATGACGCCTCTAGATAAAATTTAGTAAGCTCCGCTGAACACACATTTTGAGCAGAATTTGCTTCATTATTAATATGCATTGTTCTAGAAATACTGCGTTATAGAATTTTATTAATATCTGAATTTAATACTCTTTTGAGACTAATCAATTTTTGGTATTGGTTTTGTTCATAAGTATGCACGTATTTAGAATGAGCCTCGAATTCTGAACAAAATGGAATATTTAGTTAACTAAAGCTTTAACTTTTATTTTTCTTGGATTGAAAAAGTTAAAATTTTTTTTTCATTCGATTCTAGTGAAAAATACATCATTCGATGCAGAATTCGATACCGGTAATGAAAATCTGGTTGTTTTTAGTTTTTTTGATTTCGTCCTAGTTCAAAGTGTGGTTTTTGGACAAAGTATAGAGGTCCGTATCTAAAATTATTTTTAGTTTGTTAATCGATGCAACTATGCTTGTTAAGAAATGACCTGATATTCCGAAAACTTGTTAAAATCTAGACAACTTTTATATAAAAGGTGTATTTGTGTGTCGTTTTGTTTCGTAGTAAAATGCAAAACTCTCAGCTTCGCTAAAAACATTTCATTTTTGTAATTCTGTAACGAGGGGCATTTTTTAAATACCTCAGCTGTAGCTGAAGGAAAATCAATGAAATTTTTATGGACAGTAGATCTAAATGGTTTCTATCTATAATAAAAGTTTGAAAGAATTTGCCGAGCCTTAGGATATGAAAAATATAATAGATATGATCTGCATCGTCTTTAGATGATATTATAAGAATTTCACCATTATGTATATGATTATATCCATATTAAAGTTTTTATTATTGTTAGCCACGCTTCATGAATCATTTTCCCCATTACATTGTAGGCAAATATAGCAATTCTAATATTGACCAGGCCAGATTAGAAGTCTATTCACGATAAATTTATATAATCCCATACTTCACTGAAGGTCAAATGGAACATAAAAAACGATGCAGAAAACTGTAATCGTAGTGATCGTGCCTATAAAAGCTATAAATATAGACGTACCCGTCATAATCTAATAAAAAAAATGCCTGAATCGGGCTCAATAACTGGTCGCACTTGTGATTGTAAAGGCAAATATGCGACAAAACAATAGAAGTTTTTGTTCGATATAATGTCATTTCAAACGAGGTGGTTGTATCAATATAGATGAATATATTAAAATGTTTTTTTTTCTATACTGTTTAGTGAAATGAAAAGATACTGTTGAATAAAAACCAATATTCTATTCGAGTTTGAATTGTTTTTCTTGTATAATTTTATTTGGAATAGTATTCTAATTTTGCCTACAATGTATATGTGATGGACATTTTCTTTACTTCTTTCTCATCTTCTTTCTTGAAACTTGTTTTATGGATCTTTCTTTCTTAATCTGATTCTATATAAGTTTTTACCTGATGATTTTTTTTCCTTTTTATTTTCGCTTTATATATAGTCATTACCTTGTTGTTAAAAGTTTGTACATATAGGATATCTACAAAAATAAACTATAAATAGAATTATGATTTCACAATAATCATTCAAATTTATTTCGTGAACTATAGACCTCAAGCTTCTATGTAAGTGGCATGCCAAAGTCAAAATTTGATCGGGATGATAGAATGTTTTTAAATGTTTTGTAGAAATGATTGACTTTCAAAATGATTTTGTCTTATATAACGATTGATCGCTACGTTATTAGACGAGATGTTTATTCATTTTTGACCCTATAGCAAATATTTCCAATGAGTTACGACCAGAATTTCGTTTGCTTAGAAATTTTTGTCATAGGCTTTGTTCGAGAATAGTGAAATAATTTTTCCAAAGCCAAAAAAAATTAGCTTGGACAGAAGTTGGGGTATGATGTATCCGATGAGCATGTTTGTTCATTTAAGCTTACTTCAAATCATTTACGACAAGAAAAAAGCTGTAGGTCTCGACCAGAATTTAAATATGGATAAAAACCCTAAAATGATTCAAATTTCTATGAATATTCGATTAAACTATGGAATTCTTTTCTAGAGCCCTCAAGTTTTCGGAAAACTCGTATTTTCGGTCTAAAATCGTGTTGCACGTAGAGAAGTCAACTAGACTAACTTTTATTAAAAAACTCACAAGTTTTGAAAAACCTCTTTTCGAGATAGGATATCTTTATGATATTAACCTTTTCCATCGACAGTGTATCCAATATATCTTTTTTGAAAGTTCCATATCTTGAAGAGACTTTGTTCAAAAATCCTGAAGTTTTATAAGGAAGCTAATACAGTTGAGTTCGCTATATGCAAAAAGTTTCAGATCAAAGTTCGATAGCTTGATGAAGTTTCAATAGGAACTCTAATTTTTTCAAGTGTTTTATCAGAACACTATTTCGTATTTATAGTCAAAAATCGATTGAAATCGAAAGGGGATAACTGACAAGGTTCCCTCGTCAGTTGTCTCTTCGAATATGAGTATTTAGGACAAACGAAAACTAATGTGTCTTATTGAAAGGCAAAAAAGACTTCAAATAGTGTATAGTACAGGATCATTTCCCATCCATAAGCTGATATATAAATGAAGAAGCTAAATTTTAGTTTCGAATTACAATAGGGAATATATAAAAATTATCCATTCAAATCAATCTTGAGTTTTTCAAGAATTATTTCATTATTGTTAAAAAACATTGACACAAAATTTCTAAATCCATATTCTATAAGAACACAAAATTTGGCTTCCAACTCATCGGAAAAATTTTCTAACGAGCCGAAAGTAAACAAACATCTTGTTTAAGAACTTTCCGATCACTCTTTATTATCGGAGAAAAAAAAGACGCCCCTCTTCCTCCCATGTTTTCTCGTTCGATTGCTATAAACAACAAATCACTAACTGTTTGCGTCAATTCTTCACGGAATAAATTGAAGTGTTACATTGATGTTAATTATAATAAACATTATCAAATAGATCAAGAAACTCTTTGTTCTCGGTCATTACAGTCAATGACAAAATTATCTGAAAATAAATATTTTAACAAAAAACAATCTTCATCTAAAATTGCAATTGTAAAACAAAATCATTGTAAACATTATCGATCTGATCAACAAATAAATAATAATAAAAATAATATTGAAACATGTACGTTAATTAAATTAATAAATGATTTTTTTTGTTATCTCGAAAATTATTCATTACATTTTACAGATTTAATCACTCGTATGAAACCACCAGCAAATATCTCGATGGAATCGAATCAGATTAATAACAATCAATCACGTAAATCTCCATCAGCAATCACTATTATTATCAAACCATTTATACCTTCGGAATATTCTAATCGTTATCATCAACAAGAAATTTGTTTTGATAAAATATTATCTTCAAATAAACGAAAATATTCATCATCATCATCATCATTGAAAAATATAACTAAACGAATATCAACTTCACTATCAGATAAAACACTAAATAAAACATATTATAAAAAACGATTATCGACATTTAAAGATATAACACGACCAATTCCTCAAATGTCCAGTGAAATAAAGCATAATGAAAATAAACCATCAGATATTCTTCATTCTCGAACACTTCTCAATATTTATCGTAATAAAAAGCAATATACGAAAGAAAAATAAAATTCTGTTTTTATTAAAATCAATCAAACAAATAAACACAAATAAATAAATAAAAATATATCTATATACAAATATATATTATTTTGTTTCGTTTTTTCGAAAAATGTTTTTTATTTGTTACCAATCTTCAACTGAAATTAATCTTCTTAAACTTTCATTACATTCGACTTCATCAACAAATATCGTATTCGTTTTTGTTTCAATATCTTTTTCTAATATTAATTTATCGGGATTTAAATTCCGTAAACCTACATCCGATTCAGCCAAACTAAAACAAATAGAAAGAATATATTTATAATAATAAAAATTAACATATGTCAAATCAGTCAACGAAGACTAATGATGATGTGCAAACAAAAATTGAAAAAATGTGCTAACCAGATTGAGATCATCAAAACTATTTATCTACAAAGACATCGTCTCGTCTTTTATGTTGACATTTTGTTTGCATATGATAAATGATTCGTACCTGTTCCTGGTTTTCCTTTTTCTTTACTATTTATCTATCTTCCTCTTTTTGCTGTGACTTATAAAACAAACAGATCTGAGAATAACAAGACGGTAAGTCTATTTTATTTTTCATTTCATACTGTTCTTGACGTTTTTGTATTTGACATTCAATCACTCGAATTTCTTCTATAAGACATTTTTGCGGTGCATTATAAAAAAGGTCAACATTAGGTCGTTTATGACGAATATCAAGACGTGTACGAGTCAATTTTAAATATTGCTCTTTATCATGTATACCTTTTTCAGTATTTTTAATATTTTCTTCAAGTTGATTAATTAATAGATCAATCTAAATTGTAAATAACGAATAAATAAAAAAAAAAAGAAAATCATCTTCTATAAATAACTTTTTATTTACATCATATAATTGATCTTCAAGTTTTTGTTTGGCTTGTTTTGATTCATAAATGTGTCGATCAAATGAACGTCTTGTACATTCAATAGCTTGTTTCATATAAGCAACAAGTTTATTTTTGATATACCATCAATTACATTATGTAATTATACGGAATTAAGTCGTTGTGTTTCAGCATTCTTTTTTTGTATTTTCATCTGAATATTCTTCCCAAAATGGTTTGGAAAATGATCTAATCAAGATAAATAAGAATGTTAATCTTTTCAATGAAATTTGATCTTTAGTAGGTTTTTTTTTCTATTAAAGACGAAAGAATTCATCTTGAAAGAATATCTTTCGACCAAAGTACTATAGTAATTCTCATCAATCTCTATATATAGTTTGGGGTATGTTTTACTTGCTATAGTACAAATATAATACACCCATGGGCGTTTTTTTCCATCTCCATCGATCTTTAGACTATCGACTAGAAAGTTCATTTTGTACTAGTCTCAAGAGAATTCTTTAGTGGTTTTTCTTGCTTGTTTTGTTTTTTCTACTAGAAGATTATTTTCTTTATATGATTAATATATAGAATTTGAAATAACATACCGAGAATTAATATTTGTTATACCTTCTTTAAGATAAATTGATGAACTTGTTAAATTTAAATTCATAGTATGTTTATCAATTGATTGTGCAGTAAATTTGTCTTTAAGATCTCGATCGAGCATATAGTGAGCTTTGCGCATCAGTCTATAGAAATAGAATAGAGCATAATTATGTCTCTATTGAATTGCTCCGAAAAAAAAAGAAAGATGAAGAAAGGCATAGCGCCGGATTCGATCAGTGCATGCCGAACATATATACAAAGAATGATGAAAGAATGAATAAGAGACAGGAAGTCATGTAGACGACTTTCAACACATACGGATATAATTCTAATCGACACTTAGATAGAAAAGATTGTAAAAAAAGAAATACGAGAAGAAGGAGTGAAGAAGAGAAAAAAAAGAAGAACAAGAACAAGAAGAATGCGTAAATTGAAAGAAAAAAAAAACCAAGAAAATTATGTGTCACCTGTTTATTGTCAGTTTTAGATGACATTTCTTGTCTATTTCTCTTCTTTTCTATTAGATTTTGTTGATGTTATTAATAACAATAATAGTCAATATATTAAATAGTAATTGATTTTTAATTTCAATCCAACAAATATGAGAATATATGATTATCGTCATTCTTTTTCTTTTTTTTTTCTTGTTTTATTTTGTTATTCATTTTGTCATTCTTTCAGATACAATAGAACAAATTATTGGATGTTACCAAAGAGCTGTTTGTACGAATATAGCCATTTACAATATGGTATCTGTTAGAAAATATTAAAGTATTGTCAATCTACTGTATGTATATATACATATGTGATACAATAACAGACAAAACTGTAGTTAACATTGCTACTTAGACTATTGTGTTTTCTCTACTAAGCGAAGATACGATGTGTCTAAATGTCCAAATACTATACTATAAAATAATAATAACATTGAGAGTACGATAAAAATAGCAAGAGAAATAAAGTATGCAAACATCTATCGATACATAAAAAACAAAGAATAGTGTCAGTGAACAATAAATAAAGCAAAGAACAAATAGTAGAGATTAATTATCCATTAGAATTGAATGATATGAATGTTAATACATAATATTCATTATGTAATACAAACGTTTTTATTGGTAAGATTTGTTTTTTAGTTTTTTTTTTCTTTTCTCCTATTTCTTTCAATATTATTATTGTTATTATTATTATTATTATCTTGTTAGAATTACATATAAAAATAACAAAAACGAAAGTATGTACAACAGTTGTGTGCTGAAAGAAATCAACGAACAAAGAGAGCGTATTCGTCTATACCCATGAGAAATGTCATCATCATATCAGTTTGCACTCAAAGCCAAGTAAACGTGCTTATATGTATATGCATGTCAGTCGACGGATGTTTGTGTGAGTAAAATCTTCCTAATCGACACGTTGCACCATCATACAAACTCATATACATACAGTTACTAACGATCTGATATTAAAGGAATTTCTTAACTATCTGCATGTATATATTATATATATATTTGTGTGTGATGAAAGACCAGAAGCATACTGCATCGGGTTACATTGATTTCGGAAGAAGGTGATATCATCATCATCATCATCATTTTTTCTTTCTCTCTCTCTCTCTCCCTCTATGTTTCTCTCTCTCCTTATCGTTTTCTCTTCGAAGTCAAACTGTTATTACTTGTGCTTATAATAGTCTTTAGTTTTTTGCTTTTTTTTCTTCCGTGTCTGTTTTCTAAATATGCGGACAAAACCTAATTCTTTTTTTTTTTCATCTATTGTAGTTGTCATCAAACAATTGCAGACAATTACATAGGCGCATTCATACATTTGTTTGTTATAAATGAAAGAAAAAGAGGCCCATCGACCAGTATTACAATATCAGATTTTGATGATGCGAGTAACAGCATCAACCTTCTGATTATTATCGTTCTAACATATACATATAGACTTTCTCTTTATTTCTTTCTTTTTATTCAGCTTCAAGAAATTACTATCACCTTCATATTATTTGTCGTTTATAGATCTAATTATAAGATACATGATTGAAAGTGGTATATGATCAGCAAGAGTGAGAACATGTATTAATGTACTGAGAGAATCATGATGTTCAATCGATCGACAACGTTGACGTATGGCGTTTCTCTTATTGAAAGGCATTCCGAGTCTTGCCGGTCACAATCAAGCGCCTCAAGCTGATCCAGATGACTTTGTTGATCGACTTAACTATCGTTATACAGTTATTTTACTTAATGTTTTCTCCGCTATTGTTACAAATCGTCAATTTAGTTCCAAACAAATTCAATGTAAATATATAAACTTATTATAATTTCATATTAATTAGTCTTCGAAAAAAAAAAAGAAATGATATTCAAATTTATTTTTCATTTTTTCAGGTTGGGTACCAGCTATGTTTACATCTGGTTATGAAGATTATACAAATCATATATGTTATATTACAAATACTTATTATGTTAATCAAACACAAAAAATCCCAGGTACACGTGCAGAACGACAAAGTTTACAATTACTTTATTATCAATGGATACCTTTTATTCTTTGCTTTCTTAGGTAATTAATATATTCGAACAAAAAGAACAAGTTCATTTTTTATTTTCGTTTTTCTTTTTTTTGTTAAGCATTCTTTTCTACATTCCAAATCTTTTTTGGCAATCTCTTATGAGTCGAAGTGGTTTGGATTTAAAAGATATAATTGAAGCTGGTAAAAGTTATAAATCAATTGATAGAATGGATAAAAGACGTAAAATAATGAATTATATAATTGCATCTATTGATGAATTTATTGATGATCCAAGACGTGGAAGAGAAAATCGACATATTAGTTTACTTAAACGTATTCAAGCAATTTTTTGTTGTATGTATGGAAAATTTCAAGGCAATTATTTTATGATGGTTTATTTATTAATGAAAATTCTTTATGTTCTTAATTCAATTGGTCAATTAGCATTATTAAATGAAATGCTTGGAATAAAATATTATCGTTATGGTTTAGAATTATTACAAAAATTAATTTTACTTATACAAAATCAACCACTTCAACAATCGTATAGACAACAAGGTGGTCTTTCAAAATATTTTCCTAAAGTAACATTATGCGATTTTGAGTAAGTTTTATTGATATTTAAAATAATATATCAAGTATAAATATTGTTTGTTCTTATAGAGTACGTGAACCTAATCATTTATATAATTCACATCGTTACACAGTTGAATGTGTTTTACCCAATAATCTTTTATTTGAACAATTGTTTACATTTTTATTTTTTTGGTATACTATGATAGTTATTTTGAATATAATTTCTTTATTTACATGGTCATATTCATTTATACGACCAATTCGAATAAAATATGTAACGACACGCTTAAAATTAATATTAATAAGACATTTACGAAAGTCCATAATGAACACCAATGAACATTCTCAAGAACAACAACAAGAATCACAACCACAATTACAACAACGACAATCAACCGTAGCTGATGATTCTCTATTACATCGTGATGACTCTCATTTAGATTTTGCTAATAATTATTTAAAATGTGATGGAATATTTGTACTTCGTCTATTAGAAACTAATACATCAGATTTTGTTGTAACACATGTTATTGAAGAATTATTTTATTCCTATGAAAGAAAAGCTTCACAACCCGTTGTTCTTGATGGACTTGCTAAAATGATGTCAACACTTGGTCCTGATCAAGGTTTACTAAGTTTAGGAAAATTGCTTTTTTTACCCGTTATGTCCGATCCAAAAATGGCTGCTACATTTGCTAAAGCGACAACTATAACAGCAACTACTACTACTACTACTACTAATAGTAATATGCTTCTTCCTAGTTTAACAACTACAACAACTGATGATCCTTTACGTAATGCGCCGAAATTACTTGCACCACCTGCTCCAACACGTCGACGAATATTAACAAATGAAAAGCGTTCTCCTACTGGCTCTATAACAGAACAAATTGAAACTGTTCAACGAACTTCGTCATTAACAACAATAGAAACAAAACCATCTGTTGATGAAGTAACGGAAATTTTACGTGAACGTCGACAAAGACTTAAAAGAAGAAAATGATAATTCATTTTCATAGATTCTTTTATCTTTTCTGTATGCCTATGTGTGTGTTTGTATGAATAATCAAAAAAAAATCAAAAGGAAAAGAAGAAAAAAAAAGATATTTTCTATACGGTAAATGTCAAATAACAGATAATTCTGATAGTAATTATCACATAACTATATGTGACATTTTTATCATCATTTGCCTCAAGGTATTCTATAAATAACCTTAAGTTAGAAATGAATACATTACCTAAGTTATTTTTTCGTTTGTACGATTGTACGTGTTAGTAAAGTAATAGCAGCACTTTGAATAGCTGTAATTTCCATAATTAAATTTTTTTGAACATTATCATGAACTAAATCAATATCATAACGTTTTTCTCTACAGTTAAAAAAAAAATATGAAAATTTATATAAAATTTTATTAGAAAAGTTTTTTTTTTTTTATTATTTAATTGATTTGTTAATCTTGTTTGAACAATATGTAAGTTATCTTGATGTGATTGAAGATGTTTTTTTCAATATGAATAAAATAAAATTCTGTTGTATAGATTTCTTTTTCTATTTCACTTCGTTTTACTTCTTATTTACCTTTCCATTTTTAATGTAATCTCAACGTTAAGCTAATTATAAACAAAGAAAAACCAAGAAGTTACAGTTGTTTTTCTTGTTTTTTTTTCGCTTTTTATGTATTGTATTAAGGATGTACTGTGTTGGTGGAAATACTAAGAGTAAGTCACCATCAAGAAACTCACTAGGACACTGATTACATTAGCATCGGTGTTTATGATAACATTTAGACACGAAACCTATAAAAATATGCTTTTTTTTAAATAACCTTGTCTTCTGGTGCATTAGTGAACACGAATGCTTGTGTGGTTTATGAGCACTAACTATAATTACAAGGAAACATTTTCAAACGGATAGATTCTTTTCTCACCACAAGTTACTAGATTATAGGTTATTGACTATGTCGATTCAGAAATTAACAACGAGAAATCTCCTTATGCCTTTACATGCTGAGCTTCTAGACTAGCAAAAATTTCTCTAAAATTGTTTTAAA